CAACAGTAATTTAATAACCAATATTTAGAACTAAAACCTCCTCTAGGACACTATTTCCCAAATATCTATGTTGGTAAATTTGTATATTTTTTATATACTTCAGATTGGACTATCCTGTCTATGTATGTCTATATCTTGGCATACTCCCAAACAAGGTCAGATGCATCTTTACATGGGTTTCTTTACATCAAAGAAGGTCATTGGTATCCTGGGCTTCATTAGCAAAGTATTGCCAGCCTCTTGAGGGGGTGGATCCTACCCCTCTACTTATCACTGGTGAAGCCACACTCTAATGCTAGGTCCAGTTCTGGCCTCCACAGTAAAATAGAGACATGAACATACTAGAGAGAGTCCAAAGAAGGACCACAAAGATGATAAAGGGACTGAACCACCTATGAGAAAAGGCTGAGACTGCTGAGAGCTGGGACTGCTCAGCCTGGAAAAGAGAAGACTCAGGAATCTTATCAATGTATCTACATATCTGAAGGGAAGGTACAAAGAGGATGGTGACAGGCTCTTTTCAGTAGTGCTCAGTGACAGGACCAGAGGCAACAGGCACAAACTGAAACAGAGGAGTTTCCTGCTGAATTAGAGAAAACACTTTCTCTGCGCACAGATTGCCAGAGACCTTGTGCAGTCTCTATCCTTGCACATATTCCAAAGTCTTCTGCATATAGTCCAGGGCAGCTGGTCTGGATGCCCCTGATTGAACAGGGAAGCTGTACAAGATGATCTTCTGATCTCAACCAGTCTGTGATTTTTTTGATTGTCCAAAATCTGATGTGTTCTTTTTGGTTTAATGCTAGAATAAATAGACAAACTACTCGAGATTTAAAAAAGTGTTTTTCCAGCATCATCTTAGATAATACTTGGGGGATTAAAAGCCTAGATTTAAAGAAAAATAAAAAGTTTTCTTCAACAAATCAGACAGAATTTGTTCTGAAAACTTAACTCACAACAATAATTCAATGCTTTCAGAAACATTTGTGACATAGCTAAATCTTACTAACCTATATAAATGTATACGTTTTCCTATAATCAAAATTATAGAGCTGGTCATAATCAACAAAACATTCATGTTAAAGAAAAAAACATATAGAGACAATGTTTTCTTTCAATAGAACTTATATTTTATACTATCTGAAGATTTGACCTGAAATGGATCATTAATCATAGAATCACAGAATGATTTGAGTTGAAAGAGACCTTAGAGATCATTTAGATTCTAATCCCCACCATAGGCAGAGATGTCACCCACCAGATCAGATTTCTCCAGGCCCTATCCAGCCTGGTCTTGAACACTTCCAGGGATGGGGCATTAACAACTTCACTGGGCAACCTGTTCCTATGCCTCACTACCGTCACTGTAAATATTATCTTCCTGATATCTAATCTAAATCTCTCTCAGTTTAAAACTGTTCTTCCTTGTCCTACCACTATCTACCCACATAAAAATCCCTGTCTTTTTTTCACAAACCCTCTTAAAGTGCTGGATGTCTGCTATAAATTGTTCCCAAAGCCTTCTCTTCTGCAGGCTAAACAACCCCAGCTCTCTCAGTTGGTTTTCATAGGAGAGATGCTCCAGCCCCCTGATTATCTTCATGGCCTTACTCTGGACCCCCTCTAAGAGTTCCATGTCTGCCTTGTTCTGAGGACCCCAGACCTGGATGTAGCACTCCGGGTGGGGGTCTCATGGGGGCAGAAGGGAAGAATCATATCCCTCAACCTACTGGCCACTCCTTTTTTGATTCAGTCCAGGGTATGGTTGGCTTTCTGGACTATAAGCCACACTCTTGGCTCATGTCCAGCTTTTTCATCCATAAAAACCCCCGTCTTTCTCTGCAGAATTCCTCCCAATGAGTTCCTCTCCCAGTCTCTACTCATGTCTAGGATTGTCCCAACCAGGTGCACTTGCACTTGGACTTGTTAAATCTCATTAGGTTCTCACGGGCTCACTTCTCAAGCCTGTACATATTCTGTACAAGCCTGAATAGCATCCCATCCTGTTGTGTCAACTGCTAAACTCAGATTGGTACCATCTGCAAACTTGCTGAGGATGCACTTGCTCTCACTGTCCATGTCACTGATGAAGATATAGAAGAGCACTGAACCCAAGATAGGGTCCTGAGGGATACAACTTGTCACCAGCCTCCACCTGGACATAGAGCCATTGGCCACAGCTCTCTGGCTGCATCGAACTAATTCCTTATCTATTGAATAGTCCACCCTTCAAATCTATGTCTCTCCAATCTGGAGAAAAGGATGACTTTTGGGATTGTATTATAGGCCTTACAGAAATCTAGATAGATGACATCAGTCGATCTTCTCTTCTTGATCATTGCAATCATTCCATCATAGAAAAGCACCAGATTGGTCAGGTATGATTTGCCCTTAGTAAAGCCATGCTGGTTGTCATGGACCACCTCCTTATCTTGCATGTGCCTTAATGTTGTTTCCATGATGGTCTGCTCCATGATTTTCCCAGGTGCAGTGGTGAGGCTAACTGGCTTGTTGTTTGCTGGGGCTTCCTTTCTTTCCTTTTTAAAAATCAGAGTGTTGTTTCCCTTTTTCCAGTCAACAGGGACTTCCCCTGACTAACATGACTTTTCAAATATAACAGAGAGTATCTGGGCAACAACATCAGCCAACTCCCTCAGCACCATGGGATGCATGTCATCAGGCTCCATAGATTTGGGCAATTCAGTTTCATCAAGGGATTCTGAATCTGCCCTCCACTTACAGTGGAAGCTCCTTTGCTGTCCCTGGAGGTTCCAAAAGGAGAATGTGGGCATTTCCCATATAAATAAGATAAAATGTGTCACACATTTTTTCTCAACTTTTTTTTCACAATATAACTCAGTGGGGTAATTTAATTTTGACACCTAACTTATCTAGAGGTTGAAGAAACACTGAAGCATTCATGAAACATAAAAAAAATCTCCACAGTCTCTAATGCTCATGTTATGTTACCTGTACATTTTGTTTAATTTAGATTCTTTCATAGGTGACAAAAATATTGAGAACACTTAGATTTGCCAGGATGAATATGTGTGCGCTGCTAAGGGCCATGAATTACCGACAACATTTTCAATAATGAAACACAGCTTTTTAAACACATTCATATATCTTAAAAACCAGCTGTACATATGAGAGTTTTCAGAAGATTTTTTAAAAGTAAAACTGTAAAGTATGTTGATTTATTCCTTGCCTTGATATTGAAATGCATTATAATTATCCTAGTCGAAGTTTTATGTGACAACATATCTATTCCAAAAACCATATCTCCAAAGAGGCATTTTAGCCAACACAGTCATTTCTCACAACATAAAATGTATATGTGTAAATATTTACGTTATATGTACATCATTATCACATTTGTTTGTTCATATTGATGCATGTGTATATGTGTATTGATGTGTGTGTCTGAAAAAATACGATGTAGGTGATATATAGCTCTATCCACATGTGTACTGGTTCTAAAAAACCTGTAGTCTCATATGAAGGCCCCTGCATTTTCATAATAGAATGTAAGATATCCATTTTGATAAGGACTCATATTCAACTCAAGTTATACTTATGCAATGCAGCCTGAAACCTCATAAGAAGCACAAATTTTGTATTCCCTTCAGTCCTATATTCTCTGATGTGACATGAACTTATGCAGTTCCCAGACTCTGGCACTGCGATGATCCATTGTACGTTTTAACGATCCTCTGGTAGCTGGAACCCAACAGTAACAAATCAGGTTGGTAAGTGGGGTGGCTCCACCCAAAACCTCTTCAAGGAACAGGTAGAGGAAAGTTCGTTCCTTTAGTGGAAGTTTAGATTGTGCTTGCCCTTCACACAGAATCAAGGGCTGGTGTATTATCCTCATTTTCTGCACTGCTACTAACTAAACTGTGAACACAGGTAGATTTTTAAGCATCTATTTCTATGATTACTGCGACTGTGATTTAATGCTTTTCAGGGAGGTGCTAAATCTGCACTACACCAGACCTCTCATATTTGCTCCCAAAAATCACATTTTCCCCTTTGTAAGCAGTAAGTTTTAAGCACAGACAGCTCCTATTTGTAGATCCCAAATGCTAAAGTGAGATCTTCAGCAATCTGTGTGCATGCTGGACTCTACCCATTCCCCTTTCGAGGTTAATTTCTGCCCTGGGAACACTAAGTGAAGAGCTTTCCTTTTCTTCCTCCAATTGTTCCTGGCCTTCTGACTACATCAGCTGCCAAGGATTCAGCTGCTTAGAAAAGACAGTATCCAGAACTGTTAAGGCATGCTTACCCCAGTCTGGTCCCTACTGCAAGGACTGATATAACACATTTTTCTCTGCTGTGCTTCTGACTGAATATGTGTACTCATTATATTTAATAGGGAGTGTGGAACAAATAGTAACTACAGGTTTATTACATGTAACACAAGTCTTTTGTAATCTTTGAATCAGAGATGCACTGGAATCATTACTATCATCATAACTGCTGTTTAGAACCAAAAGGTGCCCCTGGAAAAGCATATCACTGGTGCAGATGAACTTTGATGGTGTTTCTGACATTGACTTTTTCATCAAAATGCTCCATTTTTATCCCCATGCAAAGAAACAGAAATGTAACTGAGCTGAATGACTAGTAATTTAACAATTTAGTTACTTCTCCTGACCTAGGAGAAGTATTTTGTGATTGGTTTTGATTACATTTTGCGGTGTCATTATAATAATCACTTATGACCACTATTAAACAATTGACAAGCTTTTCATGAAAAGTCTATGTTATTAGGAGTTCTCAGTTTATCTCTTGACAATCTCTTAGCCTTAATGTAAGAGGAGAAAAACATATAACTTGTAAAATTTTCCTTTTTCTTTTAATGTTAAATGCATAAAGCAGCAGAGAAAAGGTAGAAACCACTGCTTGAATTGGTTTTAAGATGTGTTTTAGTCTTTTTCACAAGTATAATGGTTGCAAACCAAAAAAGACATACATGAGTAATAAGAGCTGATTCTTATCCTGAGCTAATGACCAAAAGATGAGGGTAGGAGCAAACCCGATTGCTGGAACATGCTGCTTCATGAAGGATACTTAATCAAATCAGTATTTACAGCAACATGTTGTTTTGACCTATGAAAGAGGATGAAATTAAAATTTCCTTATAAATCTGCTCAAGAAACAGTGTAGTGGTAACATTTGTATTTTAGAATCTCATAGCTTTGTATTTAACAACCATTTCTCTAAAATAGAGAAATTTATTAATTTGTTACCCCATTTAATGCAAGATCTAATTCAGAATTTGTAATAGTACAGGAAACAAATTTGACAGCGTTAGTCTGTGTCCTGGTTTCAGCTGGGATAGAGTTGATTTTTTCCTAATAGGTGGTAGTCTTGTGTTCTGAATTTTGCATGAGAATAATGTTGATAACACACAGATATTTTAGTTGTTGTTGAGTTGCTATACTAAGCAAGAAGGATGGAGGGACACAAAAATTGAGAGGAGACACAGCCAGGACCACCTGAACCAAACTGGCCAAAGGGAGATTCCAGACTATACAGCACCATGCTCAGTACGTAAATTGGGAGGAAAGCTGGCCAGACAGGCACTGCTTGGCAACTGGCTGGGAGTGGTGAATAACTGTTTTCATTTGCATTACTTGTTGTCATATTCTAATTATTTTATCATTATTATTGTTGTTATTATTATTGTCTTCTTTTTCTGTTCCATTAAGCTGCCTTTATTTCCACCTACAAGCTTTCTCACTTTTAGTCTTCTGATTCTCTCTCCCGTTCAGCTGGAGGCAGGGGTAGTGGTCGAGTGGCTTCCTGGGTCTTAATTGCTGGTTGGGGTTAAACCATGACAGTTTGTGACCTTCAGAGGAATGTAGTGCCTGCAAATTGCATTTCAGAGGTTTGTCCACATTATAAGGGAAAGATATAAATTAAGATAGCAGGGATGTCCTTGAGATATTTACCTCAATGCTATTAGTTTCTCAATACTTATTCTCAAAACTTCTAAGATGGTTCTTTTCATAAAATGTCTGATGTATTTAAATTAAGAAAACTAGTTATTTTTAAACATTTGAACAGACAAGACAGGAAAAATGGATCTAAGGCTGACAAGAGTCCTAAGCTGAATCTGGAGGATGAATTTCATATCTTTGATCACATGAAAAGCCATTGGGATTTGTTTAAGTAAAAAAAGACCTTGAATATCAAAACCAGAAAATTCATGTTCATTCTAGAAGTGAAAAAGGAAATGGCGAAATAGACTCACTAAGAGGTAGATTATTTTGTTTTGGTGTGTGGAGGTAGAGGAAGAGTAAGAAAAAGATCCATTACATTTTGAATTTCGACAAATCCCATAAAATGGCCTGCCAGGAAATGAAAACACATCTTGATTCTGGAAATAGCAAACATGATGTAATAACTATAAACCCATCCAGCTTCTACAAGCTACATGAGGGCACAATGTGGGAAGGAAAACACATCCCTACATGGAAAGCATGACATTAGCCCTTGAGTACAGAAGGAAGGAAATTAATCAAAATGACACATCAGTATTGAAGATATTAATTATTACCAGTTTTTCACACACAAATCCCACAGGTTGTCTGACAAAAGAAATAAATTCAAAATCAAAGCAGGTTATTATTTATGCATAGGTAATATAAGAGGAAGTTTATCAAGGGCAGCCCATTCTCCTGGCAATGAACAAAGATCTCTCTTCTTTCCTGGCAAGAAGAAGAGTTATTTTGTCTGGAGAATACTTCTTTTCCGAGAACAGGATTTTCAAGGGATGTGGGTTTTCTCTAATGTCCTTCTGGGACCTCCCTTGGTCTAGCCATATTCCAGTTCTACATGTTGTATAAAATCAGAACAAGAGTGAAATATTAAAGATTCACTAACATTAGTTCTGTTACTGCATACTGACTATGTTAAAAAAAAATAAAAGAAAGGAAAAAGAACTGCATTGGCTCAGCCAGTACAGTATTCTAAGTCTTCAAGATGGGGCCAAATTGAAATACAAGAGCTTGAATCAAAAAAATAAATAATGATGTCTTGCATTGAATAGAATCAATGAGATGCAGATATGTCATTTAAAACATTGCAATGAAGATGGAATTTGCATCGTTATCAGAGGAGGCATAGTGGATGACAAGATGCCTGAAGTAGTTATTTTTTACACATTGTTTTTTAACACAAATGAAGTGAAAAATATATACTGGAAGACAATGAGACTTCTGATCCAGAATAAGAACCACAGTTTTATTCACATTCAGCAGATATACTCTTATGGCACTTGTGATCAAAAAACTCCAAATGACAATAAGAAGGTAAAAGGAATCCAATGGTTGAAAGACTGCACGAAAAGGGACATAATTTGTAATTTGTAAGCTGACTGTGAAATAAAAATACATATCATTCATGTTGCAAAAGAAAACTTACTATGTATCCAGGTCATGTATTGGCACATAAGTTTGTAATGTATCTTTTAAAACTAAAAAGGAAATTGAAAGCAAAGTAACGTATATCTAAGCAGGAAACCTTCTCAAACTATATGTACAACAAAGTGCACGTTGTGGAAAAAGTATGACCATGTTAACTCTCTTTTCATCAAGCTTCAATACATACTAGTTTCAGACATGTTTTCTTTAAATAAATTTAGCAGCGCAAAACAACTGATGAACTCAGATGCTGTCATAACCAGGGAAAAGACTGTCCACTAAAGCACACTCTGTGAAGTTTTTAACAAGCAATGTCAAATGTTATGTGGATCCCAAACAGACTGGAGGCTTATTAGTTTAGCACAGGAACTGTGTGTGTGTGTATGGCCAGTCTTCGCGAGCGAAGATTTGGGAAAGGTCATTAACCCTTCGAGCCTGCTCAGTGGATTTTTTAGGTGAGACACAGCGTGCTTTAAATATCCAGCCCAGGGAGTTTTCCCTGCTCGTTAAGCCAAATCATACTGGGCACTTCGACTACGCATTGATGTTGTCTATTCTTCCATCATGGAAGAGTGTTTACATTTGCAAACCATAATTCTTGGTTAGGGTGGTTAGATGCATACCCCATACATCTCTCTGCATATTCAACCAGACCCTCCAAGACCACAAACACCGTGTTTAACTGCACTAGCGGCTTTCATTAAAAGAAATTGACATGAACTCAACATTGAGGTAACTTCTGTTACATGTAATAATAACATTCTGCCTACTAGCCCCGTTTTTTTTTTCCCATTATCAAGACTATATATTTTGTCTGGGCTTTGTCTGACAGTCTTTGCTGTCTCAGTCTGTTTCCTTAGGAAAACTCCTGCAAAGAAACAGCACATCCCTTGCCAACTTTTCTTATCTGTTGCTTCTTTGGAGTTCTGCTGCACTCAGCCTCTGAGAGTCATGCAGGATTGGCAAGACTTTAGGAATGATTGCATCAGTTGTCCAGGCAGGCATTATCCAGGTTGTCTGTGGGTGATTTACAGTGACAACATATCTAGGTTATAGAAGTTCTGGAGCAACACAGGTTGACCAACTGACAGAGGGCAGCAGGCAAGGCCAGGTAATATGTGCCCCGTGAGGCTTTTATAGGTAGGTAACCTGCAATTGCTGGCATTCATTTTCTCCCAAAGCACTACCAAGGATAAGCAATAGATTAAACCATTAGACAGCCATATGTTACATGCTAAAGCATTTAGGGATTCATCTTCATATGAAAGGGGATAAGATGACAAATTCTCTTTATCCATGACTATCAGTGCATACAGGGCATCAGCCAGACTCTCCAGGAAACAAGATACTGCTTTAATCATCTTTACAATGAATCCACTTTGGGACAGTCATGGGCCACACAGCCTCTCTTTGGTAGGTACATTCAAACAGCGGATAAAATGTGTGATCAAGGAATAAGATGTATGTGCAAACAACGTGCAGATTATCATCAACTGCTGTACTTAGGTCAATCTATGTGAAGATATTTGGAGTGCATTCAAGGCAAATGAGTATATTTCATGCTGTTTGCAACCTTGTATTTTTTATCAGCAAATGTTTCTAAATGCAGATTTCCAAATAATCATACTGTAGTAGGACTAAGTACAGCAATATAGCACTCACTTTGAGTCACACACAAATTTAAGATGAGGAAGTATGGACAAGGTTATTTGTTTATTAACTTATAAGAGCCAGCCTCACCAGGTGTTAAGTGATTTTTTTGTATCACGCTAAATACTCATATTTAAAAAAAAAAATCTAAGGTGTTCTTCTTGGTTCACAGTGTTCAGCACTTTCCATGTTTTCTATGGTGGGGACCTCAAAATGCAGATTACTGCACTTTTTTCTGACCTCTGTTTGTTGTTCCTCGAACTTTAAGAAGGGTACAAATCTCTCAACATTTATTCCACATCTTTTTCAACAAATTCTTTATCATCTCTTGCAATTAGTTTGCATCAAAGATACGTTATCGGAATAAGATCAAATTATTTCAAACAAACCAGTCTTAGGGGATGATGAGGCTAGGTGGATCAGGTAACAGAAGGTATGGAGGGTCAGCACAAGTCAACTCATACTGCCAAAAGTATAAAAAGTAAAAGTAATTGGAGTAATATAAAAATAAGAGAAATTTTTCTGCGCTTGGTATATTTTTTCTGCATGGATATGAAATGCATGAACAGCTGTATTTGGTATTCATGTCAAGAAGTTTACTCAATCCTACAGAAATCACATTGTCAATGTAATCATATGAAAAAGATTATCTCTGAGAATTAAACTAATTGCTAATTTAATTTGTGATGATCTAAACAAAAATGTGAGAGATTTTTGGCATGCATGGGGAAAATATATTTTTATATATGCAAAAGCTATCATTGACTGCAAGAGAATTTATAACATCTAATATATCTTGTCACAACGGATGGCAGTTTTTACGGAAACTCTTACTAATGAGACCATTGGTTTTAGATTCCTTACCCAACAGTATAATTGCGGCTGACAAAAAGGATCTTAAAATTCTTTCAGCAAGGGTGTCAAAATAATTTTCTTTCAGTCTGCTTTCAGCAGACTCTACTCCCAGTAGCATAGGACAAAAAAACCTGCGCTGCAAAGAACTCACTAAGAATGTAAAAAGTCTTTGAAAAACTTAAGTTTATTCTTTTCAAGTTAATTAACTTGAAACATTCAAAGCATGTGGTTCACTTAACAAAGACATTTTTTATGTACTAACAAATGCAGCATAGGAAAAAATGATTCTCAGACCACTTTGAAACCTGTCTAGAGGCAGATGGCACAAATGAAAAAGGCTCAAACCAGAACATGAAATGGAATTCAGGTAAAAAACAAAGTCATAATTGCATATTGAAGTCAAAAGAATATTGACATTCACCACTGAAGACAAGTACTCTATACCAAGTTTGTCTTATATATTGTGGATGAGTGCTTGGACTGGTTGCCCAACACAGTAGTAAGAGTGACGTAAAAATGTCTATAGAGAAGTAGCTGCCAAGCAGCATTTCTGGATTTAGTAAAAATTTAATTTTTCAAAATATGTCAAGTTTGAGAAGTTTTTTGAATCCACAGCTACCCAGTGAAAATGACATTTGTTTTACAGAATGGTTGCATTAATAGAATCAGAGAATACACTGAGTTGGAAGGGAGTGATAAGGATCTTCAACTCCTGATCCTGCACAGGACACCCCAAGAATCCCATCATGTGCTTGAGTGTGTTGTCCAAACTCTTCTTGAACTCAGACAGGCTTGGTAGTGTGACCACTGTCCTGGGGAGCCTGTTCCAATGCCCAGCCACTCTCTGAGTGAAAAACCTTTTTGCTGATATCTAACCTAAACCTCCCCTGGCTCAGCTTCATGCCATTTCCTTGAGTCCTGTCACTGGTCATGAGAGT